GTATAAAGATAAAGTGGAAATTCAGGACTAGAATAATGAAAATTTGGATCTTTCCTGAGTCATTGTTTAATCCTGTAGATGTACGGGAGGAAAGGGTAAAGTGAAATGGTGGGGTAAAGTGAAATAGCACGTTTTCAAATTCTTCCACGAACGGAGCCGCCACTCTTTACAATCCAGTCAATGTTTAGAAGTAGTATGTGCTTATCGACCATTTTGTGGCAGTTGTCTGTCGGTGTCATTGAAAATATCACTGTTTATACATTTTTGGGCGACAATTTGTAATATCTGCAGGTGAGTGTAATTGCTAAATCTTCTATCTTGTTTAACTAAACATATTTTTGAAACTAACACAGAAAAACAATTTTATATATATGTTCTATTACATAAAATATATATTGTTATGTTAGGGTTAATAATTTTTACTGCACCAGTATTGCTTTTAAATCCATTTGGGGCAATGTGAAATATTAATAGATGGGTCAAACTAAAATATCGTTTCACTTTGCCCCATATGTAATTATATTTGATTAACACCATAAAATAAAGAATATCTGTGTTTCTAGGAGTAAAATGTGAAATTATAAACGAAAAACGACCCAACAACAATGGCCTGTGGAGTCAATAAAATCTGCAATGAGGTCTGCGCGAACTGGCATCCTTAGCCAAAATCAAGCTGCTAGGCATTACGGAATTCCTATTGCTACGTTAAATCGGAGATTCAAATTCTCTAAAAATGAGGAAGAAGCGTCAAGAAATTAGCAAGGCCGATTTCAAACCGTATTCAGTCCGGAACAGGAAAAAGCATTAGTGACCACCTTATTGGTATCGATAAGTTATTATTTGGTCTTTCTTATTTAGAACTTAGAAGTTTAGCTTTCCAGTATGCAGAAATTAATAAAATTACAAACAACTTTCATAAACAAAACTGTTTAGCTGGTAAAGACTGGTTGTACCTATTTTTAAAAAGGCATTCCCAACTGACATTGAGAACACCAGAAAACACGTCAGCATCTAGAGCTTCTGACTTTAATAAAGTTTCTGTCGACACATTTGTTACCCTATTAGCCGAACTTCAAGATAAATATGCTTTTTCTGTCAGCAGAACCTACAATTGTGATGAAACTAGTATAACTACTGTCCCAAATAAACCAACAAAAATTATAGGTATCCGTAAAGGGTAAAAAGCAGGTGAGAAACTTGACATCTGGTGAAAGAGACACTCTAAATACAGCCAAAATTTGTGTTAGTGCTGCAAGTCATTACGTTTCACCTCTTTTTATTATTCCTCGTCAAAGAAGAAATCCTATTTATGGAATAAACTTGCCTCCATTTAGTATTGTCACTTTCCATAAATCTGGATGGATGCAGACAAAAATAATGAGCAATATCTGGTTTCCTTATTTTCTAAAACACACACATCCAACTTAAAATGATACTGTACTCCTAATATTAGATGGACATTCAACACACGTTAAAAATTTGGCTTTAATTAAAACAGCAAGACAACAAAATGTATCCTTTAAGCAATTATTATACTCAAGAGGTTAGAAACTGGCAGAAAAACAAATCGAATAAACTTATCGAATTACAAGATGTAGGTCAAATTTTTGGTGAAGCATATGCAAGGGCAGCCACACTCTCAAATGCAGAAAATGGTTTTAAGTCAGCAGGTATGATCCGATACGATAATACCAAATTTTCAGACATACATTTTGTACCGTCACAAATAACAGAACGAGAAAATATTTATGAAAAAACTTCAGATTATTTTCCAGCAATCGCTTCTATTCAACTTAAGCCAATGAGTTGTGAACCTTCGACTCCTCGTGATTCAAACAATCAGGTAACTAGAAAAATAGTTGAACCTAATATTGAAACATCAGCAGGTAACAATAATGAAAACGACGAGATACCTCCGAGCAAGAGTGATTTATTAATTTCTTGTCGCTTATTTTATAATGTAAAGAATACTTCCGACAGCTCACACACATCTCCTTATAAGAATTACGATCTCCAAGTGATATTCTTCCATTACCAAAAGCAACATAAAATCTGACAAAAACGGGTGAAAAACATAGGCATGGTAAAACTGCTATTATAACAGCATTCCCGTATTTGTTAGAGCTAAAGCAGAGTTTCGAAAAACCAAATACAAAAACCGTTAAAAATGTTAAACGAAACTTGAGCCAAGAAAATATTAAAAGTAAAGCGAAAAAAATGAAGTACCGAAAAACATCGATGGAATCTAAATTATCTTCCGAAGAGTCCACGAATAAATGCCAGGATTCTGGTTCAGAAGAACTTATTTCACTAGATGATGAACTCAAAACAACAGAGTTACTTCGTCAAAAAGATAAGGAATTTAAAATAGGTAAAGAAATAATAAATAAGACTTACTCACAATCAATTTAATTTAACTATCAGACGACCGGTTTCGCTTTCTACAATATGCAAAGCATCTTCAGGTCTCGATACAAAGTTAAATAAATGATGCCGGTACTCTATTAATTGATGTATGGTAGAACATGGTTGAAACTATCATGCATTGTTGAATGGAGAACTTAAGTCTGCTATTGGAGTTGTTTGACAATAAACGGGAAGTTCTTGAGGAGATAGATTTGATCCATGGAAGTAGAGATAGGTGTAATGTGATTGTTTGTTAGATGAAAGTAATGTTCTATACCATTGTATTATTTAAAAGTTATTTATACTTATTCAAGAGATATATTTATGAAATGTGTAAAATTATTGAGTATTTATTTTATGAAGGTGACAGTTTTATGACAATGAATAAGATTAGATGTACAAATTGTGTGGGTGTGCAATTCTTTCAACTTGTAATTATCAAATTTCTTTGATAAAGTTCTATTGGCAAAATAATAAATTATTGCAAAGTCAAGTATATAAAATTATTAAAGTTAAAACCATTAAGGATAATTTAAACACACAGAAACAGAAAGCACTTAGAAGGGACGAAACAAACATTAAATTTAAAAAGGGGAAGGACTTTTATGCACTACATCTCAGTCTTGGAGACAATGAGTTTTTTTATGATATCTATGGAAATAAGGAATTTACTTTAATACAGAAGAACATTGAAAAAGACGATTATGTCGTGGTAATTTTAACAGAGATAAGAAAGAGAACGGTCATGACATTTAATGGAAAAATTAAAGGGCAGTGTTTAGAAAATATTTACGAGGAAGAAGCATATGACATAACATACCTAAGAAAATACAGAAACCACCAGGACTCATTTGTGTTTCTAGATATACCTGAAAACAGTGTTATTTTAAAAAGTGAAATTGTCGGTGTTTTTGGGAATTTTTCTGCACTTTGCCATGGAATAATTAAATTTTCATAAATGTTTTTATTATTTTTAAATTATCATTTGCAACAAATATTAGAATAGATACTTTTGTGTTATTTTTCTTAATTAAATTTTCATTTTAAAGACTTTTTATATATGCTAGTTATATCTCACATTATCCCACTAACTATTTCACTTTACCCAACCGTGTGGGGTAAAGTGAAAAAAAGACAATGCCTGATAAACCCTCGCATCACAAAAAATTTAGTGACTTAATTTAATTTATATTTCGAGATAATGATCACAAACGTTGCGGTTATAAGATATGTTTTTTACAAAATCTTATTTCGAAAAATGTAAAATTTATTTAATTTCAAAGTTTAGTTATTCCACTTTACCCTACTTTCCCCTACTGACAGAAAAAGTAAGAGACGGGGCTTCCTGGTTAATGCTTGACGGATGATATCGTGTTAGTGGAGAAGAGTATAACAGGTCGAAAACGGAGTATATGTGGTTAGAGGGGAGGAAACAGAAGAAAAAACTAGGACGAGTAGGAGAATTTTAATACCTTGTACTTTACATAACGAATAAAGAGAAACTAGATCGATAAATTGTCACAGGATACAGGCTGGTTGGTTTAACTGGAATGAGGGGATACTCTCATAATACTGTGAAATAAATTGGTGAAGGGCTGAAAGGAAAAATATACATGTCTTTAGTGAGGCCTGCGTTGGTGTACGGTGCTAAAGTGTGAACTTGTAAATCCTGTAAAAAGGGTATAAAAAAGAAGATAGAGGTAACTAAAAAATAAATGTTATGATGAATGTTGGATAAAACTAGAAAGGTCAAGATCAGAAACGACGTAATAAGGGAAAGAGCCAGGGCGACTACAGTCTCAAAAAAGGTTCAAGAACAAAGACTGCAATCATTTGGTTACATCAAACATAAAAATGTTAGACGAAGGACATTGGTGGTAGAAGTTGGGTGAACGGTGGATAGAGCCAAACCGAGGAGAAAAGAAAGGACTGTGTGGCAGAGGATTTAAGAGACGAAGCCAAGGAAAAGATATTTGAATAAGCCGATTGGCTGCAGTAGAATGTTTATAAAAGACGGATGTCGAGAAAAAAATGTATTTATAACAGAAAAGAAGAGATTCTAAATTCTAAATATACATATTCACGCAGTTTAAAAAAAATTAACAATAATGGTGAGCTGAACAAAGGTATTTAACTCCGAATTGCATCAACTTTCATTGATTTCCTTGAAAGTTTATCCGTAAGCAGTAATTATCTTAACAAGCAATATCTACCCAAAGCTGAGGTGTGCTTGGGGATGAAATCAAACCCAGATGGGAGGAGGGAGGAATCGGTTGGAACCTTTAAATTAAAAATAACCTCAAGAATTGATAAAAAAGTATATTATAAGCAAAAAAGTTTTTTTCGAAAAATCTATATTAAAAATTAAAACCAGCTGTAAAGATAAATATACAGTACTATCACACAACTAACTGGTTTCCAGATACAACTTTAGAAGATCTAATATAGGATCTTAAAACTATTAACGAAATCAATAATGTCAACTAATTAAGCTACAGACATCCAAAAAGCTGTGTTTGATTTAAAATTGTCTAGAAAAAAATTGTCGCAAAAAATCCATAAAAAAGTTAGAGTAAAAAGTATGGAAGTCTTACCATTTCCTCTGAAATCTCTTTATATAAATTGTTGGATTCTTCAGTTGCCTTACGGTAAGATTCCTCTATAGTACTACTATTTTCAAGTTCTGGACTAATGGGCCCCATTAGCTCAATTACGGTCTTTACATCATTTTTAATTTTGTTTATAGATTTACCATACTCTCTGTCTGAATTAGAATGTATATTTCCTTCACCTTAAACGGCAAATAAATAAAACTATAATATTTTGTATTTAATAGGAATGATTAATGACTTTCTTTTGGATCCTTCAAGTCAGTGGTTCTAAAGTGTAGATCGCCACTCCCTGGGGAATCGCGATAAAGAGCTGAGGGGGTCGCGAGACTATAAAAATATAACGCTCTAGTTATCATAATACTGTGTCGTTTATTCAGGAACATAAACTTGACTACCTCCAGCCTTAATTTAAATAATAATTAAACACATTAAATAAAAATACATTACAAAGTAAAGAAATACATATTATTGCGACGTACGTGCCTGTTTTTTGGAAACAACCTTCTAAAACTAGGGCCTTCTATTCGATACGCAAACAATGATGTCATTTTCGAGTTTTAAGCGATTTCTCATTTTCGTTTTAATAGCAGTCATTAATGAGTAACCTAACTCGCAAAAATAATATTTTGCAAACAGAACCAAAAATTTGAGATCTTCGCCTGCCAATTCAATATATTCTTGCATTCTTTTAGTCCAAAACTGATACAGACATTGGAAAAAGTCTAGTTTTAACATTTCATTACTTGACATTTCTATTCTACCTATACCTAAGTTTTCCTTCCGTTTTGTTAGAATCTCAGATTGTTGAAAAGATTTGCAAAAAAGAATTTAGTACTTATTTATACTTATCATGGATAGTTTGAATTTGTCTGGAGAAATATTCAGAGTGCTGTAGATATATTGCACAAAGTAGCTTAGTTTCTGTAAAACGTTGCTCAAAATTCTATCCTATTCTAATATTTCGCTAAATTTTCTATGAGTTTTTGAACGCTACATTAACGTCATGGTCCTGCAAATTACTATTTAGAATATTTAGGTGTTCGAATAAATCGGAACCGATACGTCTGAAACCGATGTAATATAAGGGTATCAACGAGTAGTTATACAAAATAAAAGTGGTCAAAATATCAAAAGCTAAATCTCAAATGGTAGAAGAAAAATTGGCCCACCGTACAAAAGATGCAGTAACAACCTATTAAGGTAAGCAGAATTGCTTATAGTAAGGAAAAAGAATAAGCAGAATTTTTACGTAGCAAGAAATAGATTGTGATAACTTTTTTGCGCTATATTTGACTTCAAATATTTTATAAGTAGGCTACATTAAGTCAGTTTTCACATTTTCTGACATTCTCCACTATACAGGTTTTTGGTATACTGCAGAATGGTTTTGGTCCTATAAATGAATTATTTGCTTTATTTTAACCAACAATATCAATATTATTATTTCCAACAATTCCTTATTGCTCTGTCACCCACAGCATTTTTTGAGCCCTGGCTTGCCTACAGGACTGTTTATAGTTTAAAGCTATTATTTGTCCATAAGTTGTAAACTTTCGAGATTTTCTTCGGTATGACTTAACTGTTTAAAGCTATACATATTTAGTATGTGTATAATGTGTAATATAATAACCAGTCTTAGTATGAAAGCACAAAAATCGACCTCTATGTAACAGATTTTTGACAGGTATTATAACCAGATAGTTAAAAAGTTTTTAACTTACAATTAATATAATGGTTAGAACCCTCCTGTTATATGTATGACTTATATATCTAGTATACTATATGACTTGTTTTTGATAGGATAATAAGCAAAATCTTGTTTTACAAATATAGTGTTTGTGAACATTTTTATCGATTAAAATTCTTGAAATGTTGGGAAGCTCAGTCAGGTCGCCAAGTTTTAGATGCTGAACCGATATCAGTCTAAAAGCACTTTTTACCTCCCTAAATGCATATGCAAAGTAAGAAGGTTTAGCATTATCTCTATAAGGCTACAGTGGAGCACGATCGAATTGCACTCGTAATTCCTACACATGCCAGTCTTTCCATTTTTTGCAATTGCTTTATCGCTTCTGCTAGTCTGTTGTTTCACCAAACCTAAACGGCTTATGTTTTGTCAATCTACGACACGTCTAAAGAACTGTTGTTACTTTAGTGGCGATGTGAGCATTCCACGTAAGTTTCTAACCAAGGTTAACTTCAAGATGCTTATCCTGTTCTGAGAACGATAGGTAGAGTTGTTTAATTTATGGTGAAAAGTTAAACTGTTAATTAAAAAATAAATTTATTTAAGGTTTCAATGTGTAGATATTCTCTTGTTGTGTCATGTATTTGTAAATATATGTTTTTTTAATGGCATTGTTTTTTAATGGCAAACAAGTGTTTTTTATGTTCTGTAGAACTGAAAGACAGTCTGAAAGAATTAACGATTTTTTAATATAAGAGTTTTTAACATATTTCAAAGCTTCGAGTATGACCAATGATTCCGCCGAGAAAATTGAAAACTCATTGGAAAGTTTGTACTTAAATTCAGAACCTCCTGAGGGTAGAAAATAGGCACAGCCAGTCCCTTCTATTGATTTGGATGCGTCCGTGTATATAACTGTGGCATCACTATAACAGTGCAAAACAGATCTCAGAATATTGTTGCTCAATTTGTTGTTGTCACTATATGTGGGTATTATACCTTCAGCTTTATGGAAGAGAGCAAAGAAGTCTAAATTTTTTTCCACTTTGGCCAAATTCTTTGAAAAAATTGAATTGTTCTGCAAAGCAGTGCACACAGGTGGAGATGGCTTTTTAATCCAATCTTTGTGAGTGAGATCTGATTCGTTAAGTTGACGTATACTAGAAAATAATTTGGGATTTGTTGAATGGGCTTTGAGTACCCATTTTTCGCTTAATAAATTTCTTCTTATCGAGAGAGGAGGCTCATAAGCTTCAAAATGTAGTGGTTGTATAGGGGTAGATCTCATAGCACCTAAACAGACCCTTAAGACAGAATATTGAAAAATGTTAATTTTTCTTAGAAGATTTCTAGATGCAGAACCGTAAAGATTAGCACCATAATCTATAATGAATCGTATATAAGCTCTGTAAAACAATAAGGATGTTTCTACATCGCAACCCCACCACACTTTGGTTGTCATTCTAAGAAAATTACTACCTTTGTTGCATCTATCCAGCATATATTGTATGTGTTGTTTCCAAGTCAATTTTTTATTCAATATAAGGCCCAGGTATTTGACATTGTAACGATGAGTCCAAGCCATCACCGTTAAACCAGCGTGCGCGCGAACCAACCCATGAAGTAGGAGTGTATCGACAGTAGAAAGGGCAAAACTTTGCTATATAAACCGCATTATTTCCTCATAGAGGCAGAATCGTCAGGTGTTGACTGAAGGTTCTCTTCTCCCCTACCCCGGCTTGTGGACGTGTTGAGTTCACAAGTTGTTTCCGTTCCATACCGCCAGCCGGAGAGCGTGTTGAGCTCTCCATTACCCGTACTCCGAAGCAGTCGTGTTGAGACTGTCGAGGAGTGTCCTATTAACCCGAATCACTTGAGGGACGTGTTGAGTTTCTTTCTTTCCTTTGTACTATCGTCCGCTGTTATTAAATCGACACATCGTTCACGTAAAATTCCGAAAACACACTTGATTGCCGATAACACTAATTTCATACGACAAGGTCAAACTTAATTTGAATAAATAGGCCAGGTACTGAGAAGACTAAACTAAATTGTAAATATGTACATAAGATTTTTGTCAATTTAATTTAAGGAAGACAATAAAGTTTTATTTTTATTTTGAACTCTGTCTCTGACTGTCCAAAAGCTACCCGGATAGTGACTCCTACGAGAGGGACGTCACAGATGGCGCCCGAGCAGAAAAATTCGTTTTAAACAATAATACCGACCGAATTCCGAATTTTATTTTCATGAGACAGTACTACATTTCAAATTTTGTTCAAATACAGGGTGATTCACAGTTCAAAAATGACAGACGCTCCGGAAACATCGAAGGTTAGTTGGGTGTACCTATTAAAGAAGACGAACTTATAGCCGAATTAACAAACAGAGAACAGTCGACGGAAGGGAATTTCAGCGAGCTAAGAGCGAGATTAGTTGCGATCATCAAGGCACCAACTCAAAAAGGCCAAAACCCAGAGGAAATAGAAGAAAACCAGATGGAAGACAGACAAAGAAAGATGGAAATAGTACGCAAATGGGGGTTACACTTTGACGGTTCAAGAGACCCAATAGAATTCATAGAACGGTTGAAAGAACTCCAGACAGCTTACGGCCTACAAGACACCCACGTTTTACAAGCTCTACCAGAAACATTAAACGGGAAAGCATTACTATGGTACAGAAACAATAATAAATATTGGAACGAACTAAAAGACTTCGAACAAGATTTCCGCAATTTCTTCCTTTCCTCCGTTCTCACGCAATCTCTGGAAGCTCAAATCCGGAACCGACTTCAACGAAACAACGAAGGTGTAAAAGACTACATCATTGATATTCAAACAATGATCAGAAGACATGGTGAATTCAATCACCAAGAAGAACTAAACAGGATATACACCAATATGAACCCGAAATACAAGTTGTATATAAAGAGGCAAGACGTATCGTCAACACAGGACATCATCAGACTAGCGGAAGAATATGATATGGTCCAAAAAGAAATATATAACAGAAACAATACAAGGTGTGACTGGACACAGGCAAATAGTCGTAATAACAAAATACAGAATTTCAACAGACAGACTTGTTGTTGGAGATGCGGCCGCAGAGGCCACAATAGAAGAAACTGCAGAGCTATCGCTGTACTCTTCTGCAGCCACTGCGGAACCCGAGGAACAACTTCCAATAACTGCCAATGTAGAAGCCGACCGGAAAACTCCAACAGGACTGGACAAGAAGGAGGCAACCCAGTCAGCATTTAGAGTCCTCCCTAACAACCTCCAGCTACGCACACTATACAGATCAACGACCCCACACAACGATAACGTTCAGCAACGGTAAAAAGTTAAAAGCACTAATAGACACAGGAGCCCAAAATTCGTTTATAGGACAAAAAGGAAAAAAAATATTGGAACAATGTGGAACAAAAAGCGACAGAAAAGCTTTAAAGATCACGCTGGCAGATGGAAAAACCAGCAACATAGAAATCTG